ATAACTAAAACACTATTGTTGTGTGGATATGAATTCATTTGGGGTAACTATATTTACAAAAAGGTTAGTAAAATTACTAAAAAATTTTTTTAAATACGATTGGAATAATACATACAACTTGACTTATAACAAAATCCTTAAATTTTTGCTTTGTATAATTGCCCTCTACAATATCAGCAGCAATTATTCCTTGTAAAGTTAAAGCTGGACAAACTGTGTATCTTACTCCGCGTACAAATATCACTTTTTTTCTTGCTCGGATGTCTATTTCCGAATATCCATAACCTCTTGTTATAGTACGTTCGTCTTTGGCGGATTCATCCAAGAAGATTAATTGTTCGGGTTGATACTGGGCACCAATACGTGCCATAAAAGCACTTCGCACAAGCTCATTTCGTTCTTTGGCATCTTTTTGAAGCTATTAAAAAAATATACATATTATATAAATGTTAAAAAAGGCAAAAATAAAAATATAAAAATAAAATAAAAAAAAAAACTTTTTTTCGTGTGATGCCGCAGTAAGCCAAAGATCTCCAAAGCGTCGGGATTGACACAGACTTTCCAGTGCATCGTTCCATCTCACAAACGAGCTCATCCAAATACCAATCGACTTTCTCCCTGACAATCTGTTGCAAAATCTAAATTATACATATAAAAAATTATTAAAAATAAATAAATCCTGTAATTATAAAAACAAATAAAACCATGCATACGTTCATATCGTTTCTGTCAAAAGTTTTTTGGGGCCCAGGAATTTGGCGCCATGGATGAACAACTGTGTCCCACTTTCGGTATATTCTCAAAACTTTATTCACTAACGATATGCTTAGATATAAAGTGGATGCAATTTCTTTTTTGGAGCAACCATCATAGCACAAGAAAACTATGCGCCACTTAAGGTCTTCACTAAAAGAACGTGGCATTCTAAATTATGTATCAATTTAATTTTATGTAAATTTGTGAAACTTTTTACTATTGCCTGCTCAATTAACAAAAAAAAAACTGAAAAATTTTATTATTGCTCAGTTAAGAAACTAAAAAAATCTAAATATTATAAAAAATTATAATGCAACGGAAATCTTTGAAATTATCAAAAAAAAAGTTGAAAATCTTCATTATGGCCTGGTCCAGTAACCACAAAATTTAGAATACTAGTGGATGTTTTACTAAAGAATTGGAAATTGATAGGGAATCTTTGGAATTTTTATTTCTTAAGTAGAAATTTGAAAAAAAGTAAGAATTTAAAAAAAATCTCCTGATTTTCGTGTGATGGGCGATCATCTGATGAACACAGTAATTTGAAAAGCGCAGTAAAATAGGCATGATAGCAGAATAACTATGAGGATGTGATGAATATAGAGTGTAACAAATAAGAGGGTGTGATATATAAGGGTATAATATATAAAGGGGTATGCAAATAAGGTATCACCTGATGTGACAGTTAGGTGATCAACGTGATCAACATAAAACAAAATTTGTAAAAATAAATTACTAAATTGTATAATCTGATTTATAATATTGATTTGTAATCTTGGATCTGCAATCTGGACGTCCTAGAGGACCAGAATGCCCAAAAAAAAAAAATTTTTAGCAAAAATTAAGTACAATTTTTGTAACAGAGTTTTAAAGTATTTTAATTGTAAAATTATCAGTTTTTGACCATTATATATAATATATTAAATTGAAGCTATGAATGAGCTAAATCTTTTTGTTCTAAAAAGTAGAAGTAATTTACTTAGTAAAATTTTGAGTTTTCTTGAAAAAAGCAAAAAAAATTAAATTTAGCTATATCTCTGCAATAAAGAACTTTAGAGATATAAAACTAAATCACTTATATGTAAAATTTTGTTAAGAACAATTTTACTTAGGCATCTAGAATGTGTTTACTTAATAAAATATTGAGAAAAGTGCAATTGTTTTTAGAGTGAACTTGGTACAAGTGATTGTCAGGAAGAGTTAGTGATTTGCCTTAAGAGTGTGGTTTATAAAGGTCATAGAATTCAAATGTAGATAAGATTGGTTGAAGTAGTTTTTCTTTAAAGTATTCTGTAAATTGATAGTGGATTGCATTGAGTATTTCATCTTGCTTTGTTAAGAGAGAGTCATCAAGAAGCAGTCTATCAAAATATATATTATTGAATCTTTTCAAAATTTTCTTATAAAAATATTTAGGAGTTTCTAGAAAGGATTGATTGCAGTTTTCAATTTTTTGTTGTATTTCTTGATAGGTGGCATGCTGTTGTTGAATATTAAGAGCAGTTTTAATTTTTTAAAATTCTTCCTTAATTTGAGAAATTGTAGGTGTTAGTGTTTGAAAAGAACAATCAGAATATTAGTCAGAATATTTTCCACAGAAATCAGAAATATTGGATGAGATAAAGTGATTTTTGATATATTGGATTTCTTTGAAATGATAAAATAGAGGTGTTTGTTTTGGAGAGGTTGTTTTTTGATTGTTTTTATAGTTTTAATTTTGCAGAAAAGAATGTGTTTAGTAGCAGCTTTAGAAAGAGTTTTCTGAAGTTTGCACCAGAAGATGTTGAGTTAATTTTGGTTAGTTATGAGGTTAATTTGTAGAAAAAGGTTTTGTAATTTAGATGTGGTTTGATTTAAATAGTTTTCTAAATTTTCTTTAAAGCAATTTTTTCATAAAAAGCTTTTCCTTGTATGTTGTTTTTTGGGTTTAGATTTGAGAATCATAATTGAGAGTTCTAGTGTTATGATATTGTGATCTGATTCAAAGCTGGTATTCAGAAGAATGTTTGTGTATTTGATATTTGAGATACTTAGATTAGTCCATATTTGGTCTATTCTACTTTGCATATTAGCACGTAGAATGTAAAATTTGTGGTATTAGGAAAGAAGAGATGGTAAATGTCTTTAAATTGATGACTAATAAGAAACTTAGTAAGTTGAAGTTCGGGTATTGATGTTGATTTGGATGGTATCCAGTCAATGCGAGAATTAGGAACACTATTAAAGTCTTCCATTATTATAATTTTATATTTGGTATTTAAACAGAGTGTAGTAATTTGTTTTTGTATTTCATTGTGAAGTTGTTTCTTTTCAGATGTAGGAATATAAATTTGAAGTAATCTAATAGATGAGTTTTTGAAATATAGGTTAAGTCCAATTATATGTCTATTATAGTTATGTGATCGTGCTATATATTTAGAGATATTCTTGTGTATAAATAATTCTACACCAGCTTGATGTGGGTTGGAGAAGGAACTCTAATAACTTGTGTAATTTTTAATTTTGTTGTTAAAGAATTATCCTTCTTTAGATAAGATATGAGTTTCTGTGAGGCCAAATATATCATATAAATTATGGTTTAATATTTCTTCAATAAGCAGTTTTTTGGTGGGTTGAAGAAGTCTATTTACATTAGGTGAAGCTAGATTAAGAGTAATAGATTTGTATTCGTGTTCATTAGAGTTATGATTTTCTGTTGTATTAGAGATAGTGTTGAGATTGTCATCAAAGTTAAGTATATTAAAGTGAGTAGTTCGAATTGGAAGGTTTATATATTTGGTTATTAGAAATTGTTAAATCATTATATGATTTAGTAGTAAGGAATGATCATTAAGTAGGTATATATGTGTTTCATTTAAGAAGTAATTAACTGAGAGTAGAATGTTGTTGAATTTTGTTCTTTAAGATGTTCAAGAAAAAATTTGAGTGTTTGATTTGGTGGCAGATTAAGATATATAAGAAATTTATTATAGCAAGTATTAGAGTTACAGGGTTTTAAAGATGTTGAGAGTGAGGGTGTAGCGACTTAGTGAAGCGGTGAAGTTGTCACACCCCCAAGTAGCAAGACCAGAGTTTGAATCCTACCGGTAACGAAAATTTGAATTCTCAGTACAGTGTTACAGCAACTGTGAGTGTAAAGGCAGATCAACATCTGTAACTAGGTCACACCAGCTTGTACTGGGAGTAGAGGTTGGAACCGGTTTTAATAATTCAGGTTTATCAAGTGAATTTGGTGATATTTTAGAATTTATTAAATTTTAATTGGATTAAATTCTAAAATATCACCAAATTCATGTGATAAACCCGAATTATTAAAACCGGTTCCAACCTCTAACTGGGAGACTGTTAAACAATAGTGTAATGTATAAGTTATACAAAACCCGAGTGAAGCATTGTGTAAATCTGAGGTCGGCGCATATAGAAGCCCGCTTGGCAAGACCCAAGTAGAGAGGTAGCACAGATCTTTAATGGTACTATATAAAGGATTATCATCCAGGAAACCAGAGAACCGAATAGGACCAAAGTGTTTGGCAAGGCACTCTACCAACTAGGCCACCAGAAAGTATCTGGAGGAAAAGGATCCAATCATGGGGACTAAGAGCATGTCACAGCCCTTTTGGGCCTCTGGATTGGAAGTTTGAAACAATGGGTATACAGGTGATAGTCTGTATAATGGGTGCTGGGGTTTGTGTGAACTTTGCAAAAGCACAGAGTAGGTAATGGTAGCAGAGGTAAAAAGCTGCAAGTATTTGGCCTCAGCCTAGGCATAAGTTACTGAAAAATCTAGGTGAAACATGTGTAAAACATGGGCCGCTCTAGTAGGTTTAGCACAAGAATAAAGAACCCCCTATATGGAAGTGTGTGTCTGCTTTAAAGTTCTAAGAGGTCTTTCTGGCAGTTTTTCTTTGAGGAGAATATCCTATGGTGCTAAGTTGATCAGAGGGTTTAAATAGATAATCCCATTAGTTGCGTTATAGGTATAGCATCTAGTGTAAAAGTTGTATATATGGCTAGTTGTACCCTTATTAATGTTACAAAGTCAGGGGTAGCCTATATGGTTGCCCTGACATTCAAATCAAAGTTTAATAAAATGTGTTAGACCCCTAAGTGGTTATCTTAATATTAAAAAAAAAAAAGATGTTGAAAGTAACTCTTTTTTTTTTTTTTTTTTTTTTTTTACCTTCACAATGTTGTGGAAGGGTGGATTTTTATTAGGTATTTTAGTAGTATATTCTTGGTTAGCAAGAGTACATATAGCCACACGTGCAACTTTTGGTCACTTAATTTAAGTAGTCCACCTGAAGGTTCTATACTATATATCATATCTGTAACCTAACTAGGAGATTACCTATTTAAACTCTCTGACATTCTCAGTCTTGCACTACCACCACAATCACACCAATCTATAACCTTATGCTGCTTCTTATTGAAGACCACCCAGATTGACATCTGCTATACTACTTATACCCTAATTCTATAGATAACTCAGTAGAGTTCTCATACTACTGAGTTGCTTTAGGGAGGGTGTAGTACATACTCTCTAATCTTTTTATGTCCCATGCACTTTCAGATTAGGCTACAAATATCTTCCACAGCAGCTGAAACCACTACTAGCAGTCAGTGTGAACTATTAAACTGCACAATTCCAGTATCTGGTGCCCTTGCAAGGTTCGTTCTGATGCCAATACCCACATCAAGCCGGTCCTTATACCGATCTCTCCCCAACTACCAAACCAGTTAGCCTAGATGGGTTGTTATACCTAGGCTTTAAGTACCTTCCAGTTTTACATTCCTTGGTTTCTAATTCCATAGCATTGGACCTTTTCCTCCTATGTGACTCCGGTTAGTGGACCCTTCTTGCCTCAGGGTTTTCGTTCCGTTCTTCAGTCTCCGGTTTCCGACTTTTCTGCAATATTGTTGAAAATCTTCACTACCTCCTTACTCAGGTCTTGCCAAACGGGTTTCAATTATTTTGGTTCCTTGGATTTGGATTGCCCAAGAGCTTCTATTTCAAGATAGTAGTAAAAGATTACCTGTAATATACCCAACCGATTGTCAAATAATTGTTACTGGAACATAGGCCTATTTTTCTAAAAACGTCTCTGGTGGGATTTGAACTCTAGACCTGCCGCTTGGGGAGTGACAACTTAACTACTACTCTAAGTCGCCACACCCTAAGAGTAACTCTAATTTGGTTTCTTCTACAGGATCGCTCACTGTTTCAAGCTTGGTTCTCACAGCTGCGCAGGATTCCATAGTCTGTCCTGTATGTTGGGTCTAACTGACATAAAAATGGTTCTCCATGTAAATAGACTTTACCACCCACCCACTTACATCATTTCCTTCATTAAATACATCGATTATATCAATTAATAAAGTAGCGGTTGCATCAATGAGTTTTGTAGAAGAAACATGAATTTAAAAGGGTTATAGGAATGTGATTGTGGTAGATTTGATAGAAGAGTTTCAGCATAAGATTTGCTAGAAAGTATTAGGAGGTTTGTTAGTGGTGATAGTTGAACTATTATCTGCTAACTTATTATCATTAAGATTAGGTGTTTGGTTGTTATCAGGAGCTTTGAAAAGATATGAGTTGTCCAAATTTTTAATGAGAGTAAACTGAGCTTTGAATTTTTGTAGTAGCATTTTTTCTGCTTGTAGGTAGAATTTGGAGTTGTATTCTTTACGAATATAGGAGATTATAATTTTTTCTTGATCCTTGATATAATAATATGTTAAGATTCTAGCTAAAAATTGAATATTCCCAGGTTTTGCTGTAATCTTTTGTATGGCTTGAAAGGAGCCAAAACCAGAAATTTCATCATTTTTTGCAGCTGCACTAAGATAAGCTTTGTAGAAGCTGTAAAAATAGAATCCTTTTCTTCAGTCTTTGGTTTCTACATTATTGTCCTTAGTGAATTGTTCTTTAGTATCTGTAGCTAATATATATAGAAGGTTGGTAGGTGTTGATTTTTAAAAAGTAGCAGGGTATTTATTTCCTGTATCGAATATGGAGAAGTCTAAGGTAGGATATTTTAGATTTGGTCTAGAGAGTATATCAGTAGAAGATGTTGAGAGAAATTTATCAAAAATTTGAAAAGAAAGAAGGTTGCTAGATTTTTAAAATTATGTTCTGTATTATCTGGTAGGGTTTGGCATGGGTTATTATTACTATGAGTACATGTGTATATATGGTAAAGTGCTGCTTTAGTGCAAAGCATAGTGCACTCTTTGTATGAGGAGATTGAGGTAATAGCAAAAGTTTTTGGAAGAAACTTTTGCATATTTCTGAAAGTTTGGTGGCAATTTGATGTCTTAGAAAATTATAGGTTTTTTTTTCATCTATTTTCAGAAATTGTCGTTGGTAGATTTTAAAGAAGGGTTCAATCCAAGTATCAAAGTTAGTTTTGTAAGGTTTAGAGAAGAGATATGGAAGTCATTAAGAAATTATGTTTTAGGTATATTAAAGAAAATATTGATATTGAACTTGTTATCATTTTTTGAATTTTAAAGAGGAGTTGGTTTTTAATATCAATAAATGTAAAGTAATGAAGATTAAGATGAATAGGATGTATGTTTAAATCTTAAATAAATTTAGGTCTGTTGATAGTTTTGTATTCTTTGTTAAAAAATAAGTGGAGTCAAGTGAAGTTAAGTGCTACATTATAGCAGTTAGAGGTAGAGTAAGGAGGAATAGAGTTGTATAGAGTAAATATTTTCACATAGTTAAGTTTAGTAAAAAGAATGTGAGTGAATTTGGATATAATATTTTTAAGAGAGGTGTATACTATTTTAAAAGGAATAGTAATTTCTTTGTCAATTGTTGAGTGTTGTTGATAAATTAATTCAGTAAGAAATTAAGAACGTTGTCCTGCCATTTGTTTAAGCAAATAGTCAAAACTATATTTGACATTTGGTCTGTTAACTTTTTTATTGATTTGTTTAGGAGCAAAATCAATAAGAAATGGTTTGACAAAGTCAAAGATTTGTTGAAAGAGTTGCATATTAAATTTAGAGAAAGATTCTATAGTAGGGGTAATGGGATAAGTTTTGAACCAGTCAAGGTCATTAGATGTATCGAGCTTGAAGTGTTTGGTATTTTGTTTTTTTTTTAAAAGTTGTAAAAAGTTTTTAAAAACTTGGCTTTTTTCTGATTTTGTCATAAGGGCGAATTTGATTGAATAAAAAGCACTATGTGCTTCAGATGAGAGTGGGTAGGTTTGTGAGATTGGTTGAAGTTTAGCTTATGGATATATGCAACATTTGCTGGATATCCTCTTAAGACAATAGTGGCTTTGCTGAGTAGAGTATGTTTGTCGTCTTGTAAAAAAGCATAGAGAATATCTTTAAGTTTACAGATAATGCATATATGTGCATAGTAGAAGTGAGCTTGTATTTGGGGAGATTGTAATGAACTAGCAGATGGTATAGTAACAGAGTAGTTGAGTGGAAATAGAAGAGTAGCAACAGATTTAACAGAGGATTGTGGGATGTTATCTTTAAGTTGCTTTACTTGTCTAGGAGTTAAGTCAATATCTATTGATTGAGATTGTTGAGAGAGTGGAGGTGTAGATTGTCAAGATAGAATGTTGAGATAGCTTGAAATAAAGAAGGTGTGGTATTTTTGACAAAAACAGCGAATAATAGCTGGCTTTACAGTTTTTAAAAAAAACATAAGGTTTTTAGAATACTGCATTCGCTAGGATTAAAAGCAAAAGGCATTGCTTTTAATTGGCTAGGTTGTGCATCATGGATCATCGTGCCGTATCAGTCACTATATTTATTGTAGAAATAGTTCAAGTCAAAATGGTCTGGTTCTTGATTAGTTAATGTAGGCATTTTGAAGATAAAATAGGTGAGTTTTGTTAAAAAACTTTAGTATTTTGTAAAAATAACAAAGTTGTTTTTAGAGGTTAGGAGGCTTCCACTTATTATGTAATTATAGTCCCCCTGGGAAATGTCAATTGACTTTCTCTAGGTCCTAAGAGTTAGTCATTTGACAATTAGAAAAACCCAGATATCTGAGCCCCTAGAAACTCCTGTTGAATTTTATAATGGCTCTATGTGACGCAGTAATCAACGGTTTAAGCTATTTTCCTTACAAGATGATGTCATAATAGCCCCGTATAGCGCAGTAATTAATGGTTACTAAATATCTGCAAGATAACAGCCTTGTGTGGCATAGTAATTAACAGTTTTAGGTTTTTTTACAAGATGTATCATAATGGCCCTGTATAGCGCAGTAATTAACGGTTACTATAATGGCCTGTGTGACACAGTAATCAACGGGTTTAAGTTATTTTCCTTACATATAACGACCCCATATGGCGCAGTAATTAGCAGTTACAAGATTATAATCATAACGGCCTTGTGTGATGCTATAATCAATGGTTTTAAGTTATTTTCCTTACACATAATGGCCCAATATGGCACAGTACTTAACAGTTATTATCTTTGCCTTATATAGCACAGTGTTCAACAGTTTTAACAGTTATTTTTCTTAAAATTATATCACAATGGTTTTATATGGCACAGTAATTAACAGTAAATAAGAATGTTAAATTAATTTTGTCATTCTAAAAGCTGATATTACAATAAATTTCATTTTTGCAAAATACTTTTAGCATTATATTCGCTAAAATATAATTATATAATAACAGAATAAATATATACATATATACTAAGCATATACAAATGGGTAATTAGAATAAATGTTATTGCTATGTATTTTAATATATAGCATTGAACTATGATTAATTCTCAATTCGCTATTGCTGTATAAAATTCTATTATAATATTAATTTTTTTTGTTTCCAGATTTTTTATGCTTAATATTATCTTACTAATATCTATAAATATAACTATAAGTTAAAATTTATCATTCATTTCAAACATTCGATTTATCAAGTCTTCCATATTATATTTCCAAGCTAAATATAGTTTTTACAATAATGCTATTTGTTGACACATTAATTTGCAATTGACTATCGGAGCAAAAGTCATATTAATGAAATAAGTTTGATATATTCGAATTCAAAAAATTATTATTTTAACAATTGCGTTAATTTATTAATTATGTCAATCTTGATTTATATCATGGGCACCATATTTGTATCAGTACCACAAATATAATCAAACCGGGGTTAGCAATGAAGCTCAATGGTGCCAATGGAGCTCTGGAAAGAGCCAATGTATACCAGTTTTTGAAGCTCCATTCATATAACTACTGGGCTCCATTGGCTCTATTTGCTTCATAACCAACCCTGGTCCAAACCTATGACTTATTGAGTATTTCTAAGTTCACATTCATGTTAATGCTATTAGTATCAGAACATAATTAACAATTTGGCTCATAAGACAAACCTTGAGATTTCACAATCTAAAATAATCATAATATATTATAACTAGTTTTAATAAAGAATAGCCGTTTGATGTTTTTTTTTTAAAGAAAAAATTGTTAGCCGACCACCAAACACCTCCGTTCTAATCACTCTTTTATTTTACAAGAAATGTTGTCAACGAAAGAAAGGGTTGGCCTTGATATTAAACCATTATTTTCTAGACCAAGTTCAATACCAACTATGCAATTTTCATCTTTAAGATCATTGTTATGAATAATCTTAACAACCTCATTGACAAGATCATTTTTGTCGTATTTTGCATTTAACATTTTAAAATCAAATCTGATTGTGAAGTAGGAATTCTATTACTGTATAATTCTGGTTATAGCTTTCTCTGCTACCATGATCTCTATGAGTTTGATGTACAAAATAGCCGCCTCTTCTAGGAAATTGTTTATTGCTTGGTACTTGACAGTTATTATTCATAACTATTATCAGATATACGTTAAAATAAATACATTAGAATTTCATATTTTATTGAAAATTTTAAAAAAGAAAGCTAATTTAAAGAACCAACTATGCTTAAGAGTTATAATCGAGCTTGTAAAATTAATATTGTGAAGTATGCCCATGTATAGTTTCTCAGATCTTGATATGCGACTAATCTTGTACCCAATGTATTTAACACTGCTTATCTTGTCAATGAAAATGTTAAAAGTAAAAGTAGCCAATTATGTTGACTAGAACTTTAGGTCAGAGCTGGAATATACTAATTTACCTTATATTGCTGTGAATGACACAATATGTCATTATTAAGTTCATAATTTTCACATGATTTATACAATTTCCATAAACAGTCATTTTACTATGAGCATCCGGAACGTACAAAATGATAGTAAGACTATTAAAGTTTGAATGGGTCTCTACTCCAAAGTAGATTAAAGGGTCCACCAAAATTTAGCAATTGGCCTGAATTTAGGTCAGAATAGACTGAAATTAACAAATTTTTTCTAAAATTGCCCAAAATTTTACTAATAAAGTGGCAGCCTATGTACTAAGTAAAGCTGCCCAAATGATAATTTTGCTCTAATATAGTTGGCCAGTATTATTGCTTAATGCCACTTTGCTCCGGCCCATCCCTGACCCTAAATTCGGGCCAATTTGCTGAATTTTGGTGGACCTACTAATCTATTCCTACCCCAAAATCCTAAAAGTCAAAATCCTGAAATTTAATAATCGGCATCACGTGATACAATTATTAAATTTCAAGATTTTGACTTGAGGAGTTTGACATAGACCCAGTCTGAACAGTAAGCAATCTGCAAGAGGAAATTCAAGTATAAGTACTTCTTTGAACGGTTGTTGCTCAATTCCCTGAAAGCTATTTACCCGACAGATTACTTACCCGATATTACATAGGGTTAGGGTTAGTATTTGATTAGCTGCAAGTATATATTTTTAGCAATCGTCACCTTTGTGATGTCAGATAAATAGCTTTTGGGAAATCGTACTGTAACCCTTTGAACAGTATTTAGGATTGTGAAGAATGATAAGAATCTAAAGAACAACAATAATACAGGAGTTAGAAATTAGGTCTGCATAAAATTTTTTTTTATTTACAATTTTTTTCAATTTTTTTCTATTTAGTTTTTCTTATTATTTTTTTATTTCAATGTTTTTTTACATTTTCATTTTTATTTTAATTCTCCAGAGAATATAGTGTAATGGTAAGTAATACCAGTCAATGTCAGAACATGATGGGATGTGACCTAAATGACTAAGTGACCAAGTCACAGGTCATTTAGTCATTCTGATTTATGTAACCTGATGTGATCAAATAAAAATCAAGAAAAATGTATGAAGTATTTCAATTTCATGTAGAGGCTTGTTTTGAACATCTTTCCATACATTGGTGGCTTTTTCATACTAAAATTTTCAAAATTTAGGATCATTGGTGCTGATCATATGGTATATGCAAAGTCATTGCAGAGTCTGAGTTTTTGAAATTCGTAAATATATATGTAATTAGTTGTATTCTGTGTAGTTGAGGCTTGCACTTTTAAGAAATAAAGAAAATAGCAAAAAGAGAGAAAATAGAAAAAGAATTAATAAAGAAAGCAAAAGAAAGAGAAAAGAGAAATAAGTTAAAAAAGAATGATAAAGAATGATAAAAAAGAAAAAAAGATTGCGAGAGAACTGATTAAATGACAGTGCTTGATAGATTGATTAATATGTTTAAATTAATCCGGTAATCAAAGATAGATTTAGAAATGATCATCAAAATTATTTTTAACGTAATCAATTTCGAGTTTCTCATTTTTAATTTTGTATAAGAATTGCTAAGTTTATTTGAGAAAAGTTCAAAATTTGAAAGCAAAAAAACTTATATAGTTTGAAATATCAACGTGACAAATTCAATCTCCAAATCATGAATATTAGCAATAGTACATAATATTTTCATCCTTGTGTATTGTTAAAAGAATAAAACAAATGCAGGAATAGATCTGTAATACCATATTTTACCTATTACGCTAGTAATGCAAACCCCTAAAAAGAAAATTAATTATAAGCACAGCATAGGATATAAGAAAATACTTAAAAATTCCTAGATGATGTATTACTATTTTAAGGAATTTAAGAAATTTGCATTATTTCATCTGTTAAGCTGTTTAATAAAATTGAGGACTAAATTTCAGAAAAAAAATAATATACTTAAAATTTCTTCCAGATGCATTGGATGTAGTATTATTATTTAAGGAATTTAAAAAAAATTAATAAATATAATTTTCTGCGGCATCCTGTCCATTAAATTGTATAATGCATAATAAAATTTTAAACACACATTTCTCCACGTATATCAAGTGTAAAATTATGATGTACCAGTCCATTAAATTATTATAAAAATTAGGATTACAAAGATATACTTAATATTTCTCAGACACGCAAATGTAAAAGCAGAGTATTACCCTGTCTATCAGTACTTTAGTTTTGTCGACTGTAAAATTAGATGCACAACTTATCAATTAAATTATTATTAAGTTTAAGAAAAAATTACAATAAGATAATAAATAATTTAACAGACTTTCTTCAGATATGTAAATCGGAGACACCCTTCATCTATTAAACTATTAAATAAAGATGGGTATATTAAGATAAAATTTCTGGAGATGCATACAATATTAAATTTGCGGTACCCCCATTCATTAAACTATTACAGTATGAATTTTCTTCAGGCATTTCGAGTATAATATTGGAGCATCATTTATCTGTAACT